TCATCGACGCAAAGAATACGTCATTGGGGCCCCACATCGCTCAGTTACATCGTCATAGTGCGCGTGTTGCCCCCTGTCGCTTGAACAATCCCTCTGCCGAGACCAGCAGTTCCTCATGCCCATTGGTGCGAGTGGAGAAGAGCTGGAGGTCGACCTCGACGGCTTGCTTGGTGAGGCCAATAGTCCCGGTGTCGATGATCCTCACCACCTGGCTCCGGACCACCAGGGGCTCGTTGGCAGGCGTTGGCTGCTTGTAGGAGACCTGCACAAAGACCAGAAGTCACAATCCCTACTTCTGCTGTGTCATCACAATTGCAAATACGGAAATATGACAAAAACGCAGGCACCGAACCATACAGGGCAATGTAAATAAAGCCCATTGCAAAAAGCAGGAGCTCAACAAAGTGCCCATCACTGCCTGAAAGTGACAAGTGTGCTGTTGAGCCCTCCCTCAAAAGCTATAGGCATTGGAAATGGAGATTTTTTGGGAACTACTATTTTGGCACCCTGCAGTGGCTCGTTGCTAATTTGCAAGCACTGGCAAAAGCTGATCCCCCTGGTGATTGTGCAGTCATAATTGGCTTTACATTGAAGCAGCGGTTTGTGCCCAATTCCCACTGCCTCACATTTTTGCCTGCTTTTGACTGGGCATTGGCAGTGTAATCCCTTGGCATTGTCAGCAAAACAGTGGGTGAGTCTCCCGGTTAGTTGAATTTGGGGAGGGGGGGGCATACACTTAATCAAGTTCTCCACCTGCGATTACTGAGGCACACAGCAACAAAGTTCTATCTCCATCTTTCCCAAATCTGGATTTAAGATGAACAGTGCCACCACCCCAACCAGCTCATGAGTGATGATGGACACGTGGGAAAAGCACCAGCAAGGGACAAAATAATGTTTCCACTCAGATTCACACCTCCATGTGATGGAATACTGCAACTAGCAAACAACACAGGAAAAACAATATCATATTTTCGTTGGAGTTTGGAAGATATGCACATAGGCCAATAGGTTGCATTGGTGAAGATTTAGTCAAAAGCCTCAAAACAACGTACTGGCAGGGTCGCACACTGGGTTTGCAATTCACTTTTAGGCAATGCCTTTGGATGTCCGTCGCCTGCAAATGGCGCTTTCTTGTACCGACAGGACAAACACTGGCAAATGGGCTGTCACAAATATGCTGAACAACAACATCGATGAACAGCTGACTCCATCCTGCACCCAACATCTCAATTTCCGCTTACAAAGATGGATGCAGTGAGCGTGAGTGGAGGGCGCGGGAGGCACGCCTTGTCCATGAGCTCCAGGGCTGCGGTCCAGTTGCCGTGGCACTCCAGGATGGATGACACGACTCCCCCGTTGGTGACCCCAGGAAATGCCAGAAACATGTCAGGGATGGTGACCTGCCCCTCCAGGCCCCTCTCCGTCCTCATGGACTTGAGCTGGAGGCCGCTGGGATTTGACGGACCTTTGCATGAAGCGCAAAAGCCCAGTTGGTAGTTGGCCCAAGGGGCAGGGCTCACCACGGAAAAGAACATTGCGGCGGCTCGGCTGGACGAATTGGACGAAAAGAACTTTGGCGCCAGGTTGACTGAATGAATGGCACTGCGCACATCGGCTGCAGCGCTGCAGAATGCGGAGTAGGAAAGCGACACCACCGCAGAAGGCCCCTCCCGTGACATGCGTTGCAAGCCGCACCGAACGCGGTGCACGATTTTTCTCCTCCACGTGCGGTGCCACCCTTCCACTAACGAGCGATCAGAGTACGGCCTTCTCAACAACGCGCCACTGTGCCCAATCAGGCAGATTCGACTTCGATCGGGCCAGCGTTGGCCGTTTAAGGGCAGATGTGGCAAACATTCGGCCCCGCGCCCCACCCCCCGCCCCCGCCCGGCCAACCCACGGCAGCCAAATGCTTTGCTCACCACAACCGAAGCACTTGCTCAGCGGCGTGTACGCCTCCTGCACGCTGATCTGCTCCCCGGCGGGGGCGATGCCCGCCATCACCGCCGCCGGGTGCAGCTCGCTGTTGCAGGGGTTGATTTCGTGTCCGTGGCTGGCCAGCCACTTCCACTTCATCTCGCTGGGCGCCTCCGCGGGCGAGCCCCCGTAGCCCCGCGCCAGGCCACCCCAGCGCGCCATCATCCGCAGCAGCTCCCCCGAACGGTGTCGTCCGGACAGCATGCCTGCGCCGCGGATTCCCAGCTGCAGTCGGCTGCTGCAGATTATCAACGGCGAGATTGCAATCTCCCTGCGGGCGACGAAGTGCCTGGGCTGAAGGCCAAGGCCCCGTTTGTTGATGGAATTGGATTGGCGCAAGTGCCGGACCGGAGCCTCCAAGGGCTCGTGGGGGCCGGGCCTTGGGGAGCGCGAAGCCGGGGAGTGGGTGCGGGGCCCACAACCTTGGACCGCGCTGGGCGGTGGCCGGCCCCACGCGTTCTGGGGGTGGACAAGGTTGGAGCGCTGGTGATTCACCTGGCCTCTGGTCGCCCCACCTTCCCGTGCTGGATTGTTTTGAGCTGCGCGATTCGGGTGCGGGGCCTAAGGTCACCTGCGCATTGCCTCGCGATGCCTGCCTCGCGATGCCCGACTCAGCGTGCCTGATCGACGGGAACTTCTTCCCGCGCGAGCAGTGCACTGACCAATTTTGTTAAAGAAATCTCAGCATTGTTTCGTCCACGCGAAAAGCCCGTGGCTGTCACCCTCAGTTTGCCCTTGCTTCACGGCTTGGGCCAATGTACAAGCCCTTGTGCTTCACTTGGGCCTCGAACAAAACTCAACCTCCAAGAAGTGGCAAGGTGGGAGCAAAACAAGATAGATGGCGTTCATTAGGCAATTTTCAAGTTGGGACGTTGCCCACCGACCGAGAACGCCCCGCCAAATCACCCATCATAAGGTACGCTCGCACTGGGACTCGTGCCAAGAGTCCACAAATTGTTGGGCTACATGCAAATGCGGCGACTGGACTAGTGCATCTAATGCGCAACGGAGAGTACTTGCCATACCGACACTTATGCTTTGGTCATAGGCAATCTTGACTGCCAGTACTGCTCGGTGCCTGGTGCATACCAGGTACCAACCCGCGGTTCCCTTGTCAAAACGAGTCAGCTAATGCTAATCACATCACTGCGTCAAGCCCGTCTTTGGCAATGTTCTGTACAATTCCCATCTCTACCGATCGCCAAAATGGTGAGGTAGATCAGCCGCAACGTTCTTTGATATTCTGCAGGCAGCTATTTCCAGTGCTAACACCTGTCCATAAAGTAGAGACTTGCAGGAAAAACTTGGTAGTGCATGATGCACGATGTTAACGACGACTGCACACTCTTTCTCGACCAATTCTGTAAAATTTTCTTCAACTTAACGCACGTCCCCAGGTTGCACAACAATCACCAACTTTCAAAGTTGCTGCCTTGCGCCAGTTCTTGCGCTCGCTCCAATTTCCCCAACGATTCATACTTTCAATTCCGCCCGCGCACGCAAAGCTTCCAACCAGCTGGAATTCTGTAGCCACTCTCTCAATTTCATCATTAACATATTCCTCATCACCAGCCTCAGGATATTTGAGATTACTCTGGAGGCACATTTTACAATTCAGCACCCAGCCTTACCAGTTCTTCTTCGATGCCCAAGTGCCGCACAGGATTCCACAGTGCTGCATACATCCTTCCTGGCCAGAGTCGATGTTCAGAGGCGCTACCGCCAGGCGCGCCCCCAGCGCGGTACGGCAACCAGTTCTGCCTTGTTTGGATTTCTGGTGGTCAGCTGCCCCTCCCACGATCTCTCTGTCGTTCAGGATTGTCGCCTTCACCACCTCGACCTGCACCAGCTCTTCCTAGGCTCTCCAGGACACAGCATATTTGGGCACTCGCAACTTGATGGCGATTGAGACATGTGGGAATGTCCATATATGTCCATTTCCGCACACTAGAAAAAAAACAGGCCAGATGGCACTGTCCTGACACGGTCTGCTCAAAATCCAACTGTGTACTTTCGGCAAATGTGGTCCAAAAAGTACACAGTTAGTACACGCATTGACACAGTTTCAACCGTGTACCCTCAAACAACTGTGTAGGCTAACGATTTCCTAGGATGCACGGTCAAAACTGTGCCAATGTGTGTATTAAGTGTATACTTTTGGGACCACATTTGCCGAAAGTACACAGTTCGATTTGAGCAGACCGTGTCAGGACTGTGTCATCTGGCCTGTTTTTTCCTAGTGGTAATTACCTTGTCCATTTTCTGCACGCTTATCTATTCGTATTGCACTACGTAGTGCATTCCGGGCAGATTTGCATGCCGAAAACGGACATGGAACGGAATCTAGAGTAGAAAATACAAGAACGCGTCCTGTCACTGCGAGGGCACACCAGCGCTGGAACGGCCTTGAGGAACCCCACACACAATATCGCAGCCAACGACAACCCGCATATGGATTGGTTTGTTGTCTAGACATGAGCTCGGAACAATTAGGGCAGTTTTGGGGGATATGGATGAACAGTTGGGAAACAGTTGGGAGTCCGCCAAACGTCCAATCAAGTTCTCGCAACAACTGAGATGTACTTCTCAAGGGGCATGCAGGCACCACATGAAGTGTTGTACATTATCTTCATCGCACAATTCCAGGTGCTGTGCACATCAGACAATCACAACGCACGTCGCATTGCATCTTGTTCCGCCGCACCACGCCGTGAGGTCAAAACTCCCCCTTCTCTAATCTTTTCTGTTTGTGTGTGTCAAATCGCCTCATTGATTAATTTCGCTTGTGTTCCAGAGGATACCGGCTGCCAGACTCGCAACTCCACGTTGCTCGCTTGGGCATCTAGTCTCGCCCACGATGTCGGATCCACCCTTCATGTTCAGTCCCAAGTGTGGAGTGCGAAGCCAACCCACAGCTATAGACCCTATGCAACGCAAATTTAGGAAAAGTTAACGTGGACGATTTGCAGCCTTTGAGCGATTTGTGGATGGAGGCAACTGCGACCGACCCAGGTAATTGCCACATGTCAGTCGTGTGTCCCGCATACAACCTAGGGCAACAGGGCCATCAACGAATGTAGATGTGCTGCATGCCAGTTGTGTACAAGTGGGGCCGCAACCACACAATAAACAAATGGAGACAAAGCTGGCCCCTACCAAGGATAAGCTCCGATGCAGGCAGGGAATGGTTGGTATTCGCAACACGCACCCCTACCCCAGTATTGCTCCGGTACAGTATGGTAATTTTAAATAATTGTTAATTGAAATTAACTAAATCAAATTATTAATAACAATGTCAGTAATGACATTCACCTGAATGTGATGGGGGAACGGTTTCACAATGGCACTTCAGAGTGCGGAACCTTGCAGCCGTCCAGTCCACTGTCCATTCTGAGGAAGCGCACAGCCTTCGCGCCCAATCCGTGGACCGATCCCCTGTTGCCTCGTAGGAAAGGGAAACAGCACCGGGCACAGCAGCGAACACCGGGGCAAGGGCGGTGTTCCGTCTGTTTGGACAAATGGAACGTTCGCAGATTGGCCGCCTGACTGGCCATGCCGCCTGGCTGGACGGCGGACAGTAACGCGAACGTAATTTTCATGAATCGCCCCATTAGCGCAATTCTCACGCCGATTTGCCAACATTTCCGCTCCCAGCGACCTCATCATGGCCGCTCTCACACTGATCGCAATGATCCCAGACCGTTTTGCCGAACCCGGGTCGCCGGGGCCGCGCCTGCCCGGGCTCTAAGGTACGTCCGGGGCACGGCCCGCGCCACAGGCGGCACCGGAGGACTCAGCGGCGACAGCGCCCCCACAAGCGCCCACCCCGTGCGCCACCCGGCCGCAGGCCAGCCCCAAGGCCGCGCCGCCGACTGGAGCCCGCGAACGTCGCCTGAAGTACCGGCGGGCTGCCCATCTCGCGAGGTGAGCACCCCGTTGGGTTTTGCTGGCCCCCGTGGGCGTCCCGGGCGGGCGATCGCCGTGTCAAGGGTGGGGTGATAGTTTCGGCGACTTGAGAAAGTGGCTGGATCCCGGAACTGGGTTGCTGCCGGTGCGATGGCCACCGATTGTGCACGCCAGATTGGGCGCGGGGCCGGCCGATCGGGCGATCGCTCCATGCGATGGGGCTCCCGCCGCTGGCCAGCGCGGCTGGAGGGCACATGGACGGGGCGCGACGTGGGTCGAGACTAGTTGGAGGCGGGGGTGGATGCATGCTCGCAGCTAACGAAATGCACTGCCGCGATCCGGGCCGGCCGTCCTTCGCGCGGCGCCTTGAACTCGGCGCGGATGGCTTCATTGGCCGCCCGGCAAGGCCCTGCCTGCCGGTTGCATCCCACGCCCTTTCCGCCTTCTCCCCTTTCCGTCTTCTGTTGCCGACCACGAGGCCGATCGAGTTTCCTGCTGGTCCGACGGGCTTGTCCCTGGGAGGGCTGGATGGCGCGGTGTGACCGCAGCGCCCTTGTCGGCATTCCGGGCACCAACCGCAGGCCGTCCGCAGGTCCCCGCACGCATCCGTGCGACTGCATCATCCCCGCTTGGCTTCCCTGGCACCTCAGCGCGCACCTGGGCTCCCGGCACCGAGGCACGTTCGCATTTGTTTGTCTTGAGCGTCGTGAATTGAACTCTCAAAAGGGGGACGGGATGCCAGCCCGATCGGCGCTCCCGGCGCTCGCCCCCTTTGGAGTTTTCTTACAACTGCGAAGGGTTCCCAAGTGCCGGGTGCACGAATGACAGCCGCCGTTATTGAGCGCTGGCGAAACCGATGCTGCCTGAAGATCTGAGCTTCGTGGAGACACTTGCCACGAACAGGTGCCTTCTTCTCGTTGTGTCGGACAAATGCGCTTTCTTCCTGCGGGCCTCAGGGTATCCGTTCACCTTGGATATCTACAGGGGATCTATTCACCTTGGATTTCCTCAGGCTTGCAATTCTGAGACTGGCCACCAAACTCACCAGCCGCTTGTGCCAGTTCCACAGTGGCAGGCATCACTCAGGGCCCATCGACGCCCCCGACGCCTCTCATCTCGCCAGCATGCCAAAGGTCATCCTCACGCGCCGACAAAAGGTGCACAAATGGTTCCGCCTGGTGGCCCTGCTCACCCTCAGGAAGTATGGCTTCTTCATCCTGGCAGTGCTCTACTACACCTTCTTGCTCTCTGCGGCAGTCAGCTCCTACGACCAGGTGAGTGCTCATCGACTGCATGTGCCAAAGGCATTGCAAAAAGCACTGCTCATTCACTGGGAACTGTTCACAAATGCAGCCAGAAATCCACATCAGCTGGCCATTACAGACGGCAGCTCATGTTGGATGCTTGGGAACTTGGAAGCTTAGGAATTTGGAAGCTTATATCGCAGGGCAGTTGCCTGACACATTGCCAAGTGCACCATGTCAGGAGAAGGGCACCTTCCATCAGCTTGGCTTGAGGATTTTTGTCTTTCCTCATTCCTGACCAGGGCGCTCGATGCTCTTGGACACCCTTCTCCGGAAGATGGCAAGGAGCCTGCCGTATTGCCCCAAAGTATTTTTGCTGCTGACCGGCCTTCAAGTAAACAACGTGCACAGTTCTCTTATTACCTGCACGAAGTGTGCTCCCTTAAGAATTTGGTTCCTGTTCACCACCACATGACGTGGTTAAATGTGCGTGTCATGCAAACAGGTGTGGACTGAGTATGCCAAGGCTGAGGACTGCCAGTATGGATTCGCTTCCAATGTGAGCTCCATGATGAGCGCTGCCTACGATGAAGCTTCCCTGGCACTGGCCACTGCTGCCCTGGACAACACTAAGTGCATAATGCGCACCACCGACATAGACATGCCCAGTCCGATGCCGGACATCCCACTCTCTGAGCTGCCTGACAGCGTGATGCTCCACCTCTTTGGATGGATCAGAGAACCAGATATTGGCATCCCTGATTCCAAGCTTGTGGTCAACAACACGGCAGATTCAGTGGTCAACAACATGCAGGACTATGCAAACATGATGTCCACGGTGGGTCACACGTGAGGGATGCTTGTGCAAGTGTTGTGAAACAGACCTCTGTGGAAACATTGCAATTAGTCGTCTCGAATGTGGCACTGTCTATCAGCAGTTTGGAATAGGGTTCTGCGATGAGAAAGCCCTTAGTTTGTGAATCACATCACGGAAGGTTTGAAAGGCGACCTTGTGATAGACATCCCCTCCATGAGCAAGAGCGCTGGAAATTCTGCCTTCTGGAGGAGGTTGCGCACAGGCATCAAGATGCAATGGAATGTGGCTGTAACAATAAGGACACATTCAAGGTGCAGCAACTTGGCACAGACCCAGTCGATTGATGCACACTGTTACAGCTGGCAGTGCCCAGCAGGAACAATATCTGCACCAAGGTAGGCGGGATTTGGTGGAATCAAAGATTGCAGGCGATGTTGAAAAATGCGTTTAGAGAAGAGTGTTTTGCACAGGTTGCCAAGTGGGTCGACTACGTGGGTTTTGGGGTGGTGTTTATCACCATCCTCATCATCTTGTGCACATCCACTCACTACACTGTGAGGAACAAGCCCTGGAGGCCCCCCAAGAGCAGGTTGTGTGTCATCCTTGTTGACATCGTCCGAGCTGTGCTTGTCTACGCTGTGGCCATGCTGGTCGTGTACATGCAGGCCAACTCGATGGACCGTGCATGCAAGATAAGGATGGACGACACCCAGCTGTTGCTGCCAAGGTGTGAGCCCTTGCCTTGTTCTTTTGGTTCTCAGCTAATGTATTCCAGCTCCTGATGTTCAACGCTCTTAGTTTCTTTTCTGCCTATTCTACTTTTTTTTCTATTTCTTTTGTTTTTGTTGTATTGTGCAGCTTGAGAAGACTTGGCCCTGCACTCACCTCAAGCCTTTCCCTCGTGCACAGGTGTGAGGTCAAGGCGGAGTGCGGGTTGTCCTGTGTAAACGAGGTGCACGTATTCGAAAACACCTGCCCTGGGTGCGACATACCGCTGCAGTGGTGGTGGGTGGACTGGGACTCGCTGCCCAACATATTTGGCGCCCTCTACATCCTATTTCTTCTGACAGTGTACACGCTGGAGAGTGTGGAGACAAGGTACCAGCGGCGGCTGGCGGCACAGAACCAGGGGACAGGGTCACTTGGAGAGGATGTTGTGGGCAAGGACAGGGGCAACGACATGAGATCGCCCTTGCTGCCTTAGGTGCCCAGCAATGGGCCTGCAGGTGCAGCTGTGCGCAATGCTGATCGACCCGTTGTGGGTGGACGAGTGTGTGGCCACATGCTGAAGGTAGTGAGTTGGCGGATAATGTTGGAGATGGTGGTGTCCTGGATGGAGGCAAGCATGGGTGCTGTTGTCGCTGGGTGGCCAGACACCATGAGCCCTGGCGCTTGCATCTGGCTTGGATGTGTCCAGTGGGGCAAGGCATTTTGTGCAGGTGGCGTGGTGGCTGGCAATGCCGCGTTTCAAGCTGGTGGCATTTTTGGTAATTGATTCCGTGGGCAATGGTGATAATTGTTAGGATTGCGAGTGCGCGGGCAGGAAGAGGGGAGAGACATCAATCATCACTCAGATTATTCATGGGAATCGAGTTGTGGATGGTCATGCCCACCATGGGGTCCAAGAGGGCTCCAGGGGCAAGTCGATAGGCAGAGTTGAGTCAGCGCGAGCCCTCTGATTGCAACAGGTGCGTCAGTATGGATGAATCACTTCCAGAGCAGGTTTGGCAACAGAAAGCAACAGGCACAGCGAGAACTGCGCCACATAGTGTGGGCATGTGCACCCACATGAGGCTTCATGCAGACCAGGCTGAAAGCAGTGATGACCACAGGCTTCAAAACCAGGGATTGCCCTCTGGGAGGGAATTCAGCTGGTGGAGGGACGCCACAAAGAGGCGTTGCTGTTGGGGCGGGATCTTTAAATAATTGGTGGCGCAGGGCTGTCGAGTTGTGTGCGGAGTCCAGAGGTCGAAACTGATGTTGGGTTACGTGAACTGTGAAGCATTGCAGTGTTTTGTGTGGCGAGGTATCCATTCATGCATAGGGTTTGCCGTATGCGCTTGTAATGGCTGTTCGACTTGCTTCACAGCTTGCATTTGTAAGCAGTGGCGATTGGGCGATTTGTAATGCTTTACTCGCCATTGTGGTGCTTATGCTGGTTGTTGGGTGGTCGTGAGGTTTGAGAGGGTTGGCGCGCTTATTGCTCCTCATTAATCGCGCTACATTTGAGATTCAACGTGCCATTAAAGCCAGCTGGCTGTTGAAGGTGGCGCGGTCGGAGTATCCCAGGAATGAAGACATTTTGCAGGCCACACATGGACGATGTAGCGCTCACATCCTCTCCGATGATTGGTTCTGACTTGCAGGAGCAGACCAGCCATGCTCCAGAGCAAGACATCATATTCCGCCACTACTGATACCGAGTTCAATGCGTATTATATATCGCCACTCCCCTAGCCTGGTGTTACTATCCTGTCAATGAGCGACTACCATCACCTCTGTGTCTTGTGGATATTCGCAGATTCGGCTTGACGCAAGCGAGGCATGCAACTCTACCTAAGCGTAGCTTACACCTATCGATTGGTTCCACCTGCCAAGTGCGCGTAATGCCGCTCAAAGGACCAGATCAATGTGTCAGCGGCATAGATGGCAGGTTAGGTGGATGCAAGAGAGGCTGCTATGCTAAAACCCGTCGGCAGTGGAAGAGCACCAAACCTGCATAGAGGAGAACATGGCATTAGAGAACCAGTGCGTGTCTCGACAGAAAAAGAAAACTATGCCTGCTGGGTTGCAGTTGCTCTGTCGAACTCGCTGACCTTGCTGGATGGCCGGGTGTGCTGCATGTGACAATTTTGTCAAAGGGGGGATGCTGCAGTATTTGCAATTATCAAGGAAGGCGATCCTGGGGTTCTGGTTCTGCAGTAGACGTGTCTCATGTCATGAATCAGTGGAAAAGAATAACTACTGACTCTTTCCAAGAGACTTTGATTGAATCAATCTGCTCATCAGGACACAGGCCAGCACTATGCAGAGAGGCGGTCAGACCGAGTAGCTTAGGGAAGACGCTATGTCGATTTTGGTACGCTTGGCATTAATTTGACGTTAAGCTCAGGCGCCCCTTAGCGTCAATCCTTATGTCGAATCCATGATGACTCAGCAACAATACCTAACAGCGGTATTCAACTTACAGGTGTTCCTGAGGAGAAAAACAATGAAAGTTGTGCTGATTTCACTGGGCTGAAAAATGGGATTCTAAATGCCATTATAGGTGAGGTGGGCAGCGTCAATGGCTGCAAATTGATCAATTCTAAGGCTTCCTTCGACCACCGAACACTTGCAACATGTTTAGGAACACATCAAGGGTTGTTTGTCATTTGTCAGTGACGTTTTTGTGCAACTTCCTTCCTTATGTCGGTTTTGCGTCAATTACATTATCTCTCAGTGTCACAGGTCTAGACCCCGGGCCCCTTAGCATCAATTTGATGCTAAGTGCACCAAAATCGACATAGTGTCTTCCCCCACCAACTCAGAAACAATTTTGGTAACCGCATGGCCAGACTTTTCTCCATGTGCAGAATGCACGTGGTGGTATCCTTGTTTCGGTTGTTAAGCCTGAAAAGTGCATCTGTTGGTCGCAGTATCCCAAATCTCAGTCGCCTGTCCGTACAACATGCTTTCCTCATGGGGTGGTCCATCCGTCATATTACTCTCCTTCGCAGGGGCTTGATTCTGCATGATGCGTGCTTGTATCACCATGAGCCCCCACCCTCCTTGTACGGGGCCTCAGCCCCTTTATGACCGACCGGGGCTTGGCCTGTGCATCCGTTCGACTCAGGAGTCAGTCATGAGTGCGAGAGAGAGAGGGATACGGGAGTTGGGGCAAAGTTTGGGGCAGAACTTCGTACAACAGCAATGGGCGTCGGGCAGCTATATTCATAGCTGCCCGTTAGGCGGCAACCCGGCAGCCCAAGGGGCACCGCCAGAAACACGCCCAAGCTCGAATGTTTGCCATTTTTCCATTCACCCGTTCGCCTCCCACGTGTAGGGTGAATTACCCCGGGGTCACCGTGCCCTTTCACACAGCGTCCTGTCTGATCCGCCGGTCCCTAAGTCGTGCCCATTCCCGTCTCAAGTCCAACGGCACATGTGCAACCGTGTTCACAAACACGGCAGCCCCCAACGGTTTCCCGTTTCCCTAATAATGTACATTTTTGTATTATACAAGGCGGGGGCTTTCCTTTTCCCGTCCATCCTATTTTACAAGACCCGTTCGGGGGCTGGTGAACCCTTCCCTTTCAGATGCTCTAATGTAGCACATTAGTAGTGTGTATTGTAGTACACATTGTACTACAATGTGTGTAGTGTGCATTCCCCTCACACTCCTCCCCTTCCTAATCTCTCTGCAAGATAGCGGCTCACTAGTGTTTGGCCTGCCATCACCTCTTGTTCAGTGCCTCAATTGGTGACCCTATTGTTCTTCCTATGCATCTAATATTGAACAGCAGACAATCCCATAGTTGTAGTGGCACCATCAGCAGTAAATTAGCATTCGACTACCAATTTCAGAATTGTTGGAGTACCATGACATCAGTTAGTACGTTATGTTTCATTTTGTTACTTTGGCATGCTTTTTACAAGGGCTTGGATGTGATGTTGGAGATGTCATGGCACATGGAGGCCAGCACATTGCAAAATCATTCCAATGTAGAAGGATGGTGAAAGTGAATCACGCAGTGATAGCCAGGCATCCATGCCACCTGAATATCATGTGTGGCACATGGACCACGGCTAACTCTGCCCCATGCAAATGCATCCGAGGATAAAATTCAGATGGAACCAGAGCAAATGAGGAGCAAATATGTCCCATCTAAGGCAAAAACTACACAATAGGCTTTTGATAAAACAAACATAGCTAATTTAAATGGAATCTTTCATGCATGGGCAATTGGTCAGCAGCGGTGGTGGGAATTAAAAATATGCTGAGTGGATTTCATAAAGTGAATTTTCATGGGGAATCAGAAGAAGGGTGTGGGAAGACAAGGAACCAGTTTCGAGAGGATGAATATGGGCACCTACACAAACACCAGGATATATTATCATTGAATAATGAACGGGAGACTGACAGTTCAGCTGTTGCATGGACATGAATCAATAGTGCGAGTGGCAATATCACTGAAAGGTAGTTTGTGCAATTGTACAAGCACGTGTGGCATATATGGTCATGTACATGACCATAGGCGCCAATCCCTTGACCTGCCCTAGAAAAATTTATGTTCATAGGGTGTATGTGGTGATTGCTGCAATAGGCGCTATGATATGGACATGACTTGTGTTGCATCCTGCTTGAATTGGATGTGGTCCAACGACTGAAGTGGTAAATTGTCACACGTACACAAAAAACGCATATGGTGTGACCACCTTCAAGGTGTATTCCGAATACAATTCCCAAGTTGGAATACAATTTCCACCATGACATGCTCTAGCAATTGGCAATTGCAAAGATTTGTGCTGAGGGTACGTCGTAGCAATATCTGACATTGTGTGGCATACTTTTGAGAATGGACATGGGTGCAAGGCATATGGAGGCGATGCAAAGGCGTTAATTCTACTGAATTGAGGTGGAGGGACGTTTGAATTCACTTGTGATGTTGACACTTAGGGCTAGTGTGACGAGGCTGCTTGAGTGTACAGGCTTAGTTGACCTTTTCTGGAGTTCAACTTAATAATCCTGATACATCAAGTTTCAAACGTCTTGTTTAGAGCTTCTTGATGTTTTTAGGCCTTTGAAGCCTCCAAATCTGTTAAGAATTGGTGAAGTTAAGTCTTGTGAAGTTGTAGTACTTAGGGCTTTAGATTGAGGGGCCAAGGACTAAACGCATTGGGTATACAGGTCGATCATGGGTGAAAGGGGATGGTGACATCGTTCTTGGACATGCACATAAGTTGTCCTGTCATGATGTGACTGCGATGGACCTGCAATTGGGCATCGCACATGCGATACTTTGTGACCGTATTCATGGCCCACTCTCTAACCTCCCGTAAGCTAGCGAACCATCGTCACTATGCTGCCAGCTCTCGTTGACAGTAGGACCCGGGAAACGATCCCCATCATGACTTGGGCCCATCACGTGACCATTCAACCAACAGCCTCGGATACGCCCACCATTCAAGGTGGAGAGGCCGGCGAATCTCCAACGCTGAGCT